CTGTATGCCGCTGGAGCATAGCGTGACATCCCAAGATCCCCTCGTACTTTGCCTCAAACGTCCGCGTACACCTCTAGGCTAACCCAATCTACTCCTCATCAACATTATCCAGGCTGGGGCGCCCGCTGAAGTGTTTGAACTTGATCGGCGCCGGCGACTCCCCCAAGAGACCAGAATGATGCACCGGCGGTGGTGGAAGATGAATGGGTCGAAGGCCACCAGGTAGCAAAGGCGTAGGCGGGATGACGATGTCGGGTCGAGCGGGAGAACCAACCGGGGTAGTAGAGCCGAGTATAGAATCAGCCATGGATCTGGTACTGTCGTTCCAAGATGCAGTCTCCTCCAGTACCACAGCTTCTTCACCTCCATCTACCCGGATCGAGGGCGCCATCATGTTCATGTTGCGATACGCAGCGACGCTCTCTCCCATCGTCTCATCGACGTATGCAGTCTGACTCCACAGCAGCGCTTGCCACGGCCACACGAAGCCCTCGTCTTCCCAAGGCCAGGTGTGCGTCTCAGTGTATTCCATCAACGCGAACGCAGCGAAGATCAGCATGCTCGCACACAGGAAGCCGATCTACAAGCCGTTAGTAATGTTATCCACGCAGCTTCCTTGACGTACATACCACGGCGTTGGTCAACTCTTGGGGTCTGGGGACGTGCCCGGGCTGCTCATACTCTGCAATCGCAAACAGAGTACTGGCGACAAGTGCAACGAATGCATATCTGTACTTGGCGAGAGGCGCGATGATCCTGCGATATTCTTGGCGGATGTTTTCGGGGAGGAAGAAATCTACGACTCGCGTTCTGATGCGACGTAGGAAATTGAACGTAGTGGCGGTAGCGGTAGCGGGTACGGTTGTCGAATTGGTTGTTGGAGTGGCCATCGTTGCGGGTGCGGGTGGAGAGGTGGCTGTGCGGGTCGATGTCGCGACTGCCTAGTTCGCGGTCAGTGAGATCATGCTACTCGAAAAGTCTGTGCGACGCGCTTCCCAATGCGATTTCCGGGACGTGAAAGTAAGGAAAGCGCGCACTGCCCTATTTGGGTAAGGGAGACAAACAAAGAAGACTGCGCGCATAGCAAACGCACGTCCGCGCGTTGCAGCAAACACCTGGCGGGAGAATGACCGGTCGTCTCTAGAATGATCACCGGCGGAAGGGTGCATTAGCCCAAGATGACAACATCAGAACAACTCGGACAGGTCAGACTAAACAAGTCATCCCATGATACTCACTATCGTAGTATCCGCGGCCGTCATCGAAGATGTCAGGAATCTATTCAGGGTATATCATCAATCTGCTGCCAAGTCTACAAACAACACTCACTCCTTCGGCTTGAAAACGCGATGTCTCGCCAAAAGTTGCGATATCATGAAATGCGACACGTCCTCGTCGGCCCAATATGTCATGTGACTCGCTATGCTCGCCAGCAGCGAGATATCAAAAGCCTGTTGCAATGTCAGAACCGCAAGCTACACATAGAAAAGACTTTGTTACTTACACCTTCTTGAATACTGTAGTCCACGCGACCGTTACTGTTCAGCGCCCGGACTTTGGCTTCCTCCTTCTTAAGTTTGCGACTTCGTTCTTCTAGCTCCTGCCATTCGAGGTCCTTCTCTACGTCTCGCTCGCCGTCTTCGCTTTGTTGACTTGCTCTTCGCTTTTGGAATCCAGCAAAGAGGGTTTCGATGTCCCCTTCGATGAGGGTGGGAGGGTGTTCACCATCTGTGCCCTCGGCAATGGTTTCTTGTCCAAGGCGGCGGCGACGCTCTTCGCTGATGAAGGCACTGGTAGGCTCGTTGAGTCCTGGCACGAGATTGACAGCGCTATTTGGGGCGGGTGCCGCGGCGGTGAGGGGTCGAGAGGTGCGCTGTCCTTGTGTATTGCTGCCTGCGCCTGTCATCTCGGTTCCTGATATGCCGAGACTGCGGTTGAGTAGTCCACTGGCGATACCTAGCACATGTGTTGTCAGCAGATAGCTCATAGTAACAAATATGTCAGGTAGTCAGAGGCGATCTGAACTTACCAGATCCTAGAGAAGTCCAAAAGTCTGTCACACCCTGGCCAACGCGCTGTCCGATACCAGTAAAGCCTTGCGATGCAGGCGCACCGAAGATGCCCTTTTTGGTATAAGGTAGAGGCTGAGCCTTAAGGGCTGACATCGCTGGCGATATCAACGGCTCGATGCGATAACTGATCGGATCGGTCGGATGGAAGATGTTGAAGACTTGCTTGCAGAGAGGCGAGGAAGTCGTGATGTCGAACGCATGCTCGTCTCCACCTTGTGAGAAGGGGTCATCAATCGACGTCGCAGGCGTCTTTGGTGGAACAAATCCAGTGGTAGAATTCTGCGGTCGCCCGACGATGGTACGCCCCTTGAGCATCTGAAACAGGCCAATAGGCGATCCAAGAGCATAAAAGTCCTCCACCTCAAAGTCCAGCTTCAGGCCTTCTTCGGTAGATCTTCGCTGTTTGGCCGATTGTGTGCTTGGTTTGGCTTTTGGGTCTTTTTGGATGCACAAGATATCGAACATGATGGCAGACCCGAGCGAATGCCCGACTAAGCTCACTTTGCCTTTGAAGGATGGGTTGCGCTCCTTGAATAGGCGGTAGGTGCGGTTCAGTTCGTTAACGACGATGCGAGAGATATGGCCCTTGTAAGCGGGGCTTTGATACAGCAAGATGTCAAGCGCGAGATCAGTGAGGAAATTGCGAACAGCGGGAACGCCTGCATTGTTAGTATTTGTTCCGGCTTAGGACCGGATCGCTTAACTCACCTTCAACGGTTATGTCCTCGAGATTAGGATACTCTTCATCTTCGTGGTCGAGATCGCCTAGGTCGTGTTCTTTGCGGTTGTGCTTCAAGCTTTGCTTAGGGAAGTCCAATAAGTGCCGCCAAATGATGGGGATGACTTGTATGCGGTTGTTCTTGGTCTCTGAGTCCGTTTCCGCATTCAGGGCTTGCAGATCCGGCGAAGCTGAGTAGACAGACTTGAGGGACTTGCGCAACGTGTTGACGTCGTGGATGAAATTGATAGACTCCATTCGCATCCCGAGCCGTTGTCCGATGCCATGTGTTACTAGGAGCAGATGCTCAATATCACGGTCTTGATCACTCCCATGCTGGGTTTTGTAGTCTTCCCGCATCTCCTTCTCCTCGCGCTTTCGCATCTCCTCTTCTTGTTGTTGCTCATATTCTGGTTTCGAGGATGTCATCAGTGATGAGACCTGTCGTTCGAGATTACGCCTGCGCGTTTGGGAAGGCGACATGCTTCGTTCATTTTCCGACGCTTCTCCGTCGGCGTCAGAGTCCGACTGCTTGCCGTGATCTGAACCATATGCCAGGGCGGGTGTAGCCGGTCGATCCTCCTGTTTTGCGCTCTGAGGGCCTTTCCCTGGGGTCGGTTGTTTCTTCTTTTCTTTGGGATCGGTGTATCCTCGAATGTATTTGTACCCAGCGTAATGGGCTCCTCCAGCGAAGCGCTGATACAGGGTACTGCCCATGCGCGACCACATGTCATCAGTCAACATCCAGGCTGTTGTCTCGTCTTGATAGGTAACGGTGGAGTTCAGATGTGCGCCGAACAGTCGGTGTGTGCGCGGTAAGTCGGCGGGCGCATTGGAGGTTGCAGATGCATCGCCGGAGTTGGAATCGTTGGACTGTTTTGAGGCCTCTTTCTGTAGATTGTCATATGACGACTTGGGCGTGACTGGGTTGGATGTCGAATCGCGATTCAGCCTGGCCAGCTCCTTGCGGTGGTCCTCGCCAGCACTTGGGCCCATAGAGAGCGGCCGAGCGCGGGGTTGCGAAACTGCTCGCTTCTCTTCCGGCTTCCCGAACTTCCATGGCTTGACTTTCAGGTAGCCTTCCTCGAGCTGCATGGCTAGACCTTCATCGACAGCCTCCCCATCCGGTGTGAACCACGTCCCTCGCTTCACATCGTATACCGGACCCAGCCAGTATGAAGGCGCCAGCTCGCGTGTCTCGATCTCGACATCGAACAGGTAGTCTTCGTTGACGGGCACCTTTGTGGTTTTGGGAGTAGTCGCGCTCGCTTGGGTGGGCGTCGTGGGGCTGATGATGCCCTTTCGCAGTTCGTCGGCATCGGCTTCGTCGGCAGTCTTCTGGAAGGCGGCCTCGATGGCGCGAGAGTCGCTGGCGCCGAAGGGTATCCATTTCTTGGGTTTGGGCAGGGCCGTGTCTGGGGCCATGGCATGTTTCGAGAGAGGTTTGCGCTTGGGCGTCTGCCAGAGTCAGTGCCGCAACGGAAGGCAGGAGCGCTGTGGAGATGACGGAAGCCCAAAGGTGTATATTGACTACTTACATCTATAGCATGAAACCACCTCACAGCCAGCGGAGGACAGTCCTTGGGGTACCGCTTGAGACTCAGCCTGTACCTCCGGTCAATCACATGGTCTCCTCCCTGCTGGGGAGCCAGCACTGCCGCAGCTCTATCCTTCTCCTTCTCCTGCTCAGCCTTCTTCGCCTTGTCCGCACTCCCCTCGGCCTTGGATGTCGCCGGGGGCTTGGGGGTGCCGGCGCGTGAAGGCCATGGGGATAGATTGGAGAGAAAGCCCTGCTTGTTATCCGGGGCAGCCATTCTGTCGACTGGAGGGGTGTCGCCGCCAACGCGCAGCTTGCTCAGCCAGGACTTTGCGTGGTATCGTGAAGCTTGGAAGGGTGGAGCCAGCGGCCTTGGGCGGGGCGATCGGCACAGCACGCGAAGATGGACGCGTCGAGGAAACGTGTTGGCGATGGAGAGGGACTCAGAGGGTAATGGCGGGACGAGGCATGTTATACAGTCATGGGGCGGTGGCAGGTGTCAGAAACATGGGATTGCATGGGCTTGCTGGTGTCTTGCATGTGCCTCTGATTTCAGGGCCGCAGCATGGCCGGAGCGGCTAGTTACATCACTGGCCAACGCGCGGGGCAGCCGACTGCTCTTCCATTCGCGTCGCGCGTCGACGGCATCACCACACCGCCACCCCTCAACACCATGGTCGTTCGCACCATCCACGATCTGAACGCCCGACAACTCATCGTGCGGCCGACTCTGCCTAGCCCCTCTACGGACACGGAGCGCTTTTCTCTCGCAGATGCTGGTCATCTGAAGCTAAAGCTCCAAGCTCTCGATCGCGCCATATCGAGCATACGGCCAGATAGTCCTAGCGAAGATGATACTACCAATATTGACGATGCCTGCAAAACAAACCCATCTGGAGGATCCGTCTACGTCGCTGGCTCGGAGAGTTTCTACCTCGTAGTAAAAGGCCTCACGGGGCCGCGCGCCACTGCCGATGCTTATGCTGAAGCATACAAGAACGTGCTACAAGGCAGGCCGTATGCTAACAAATACAAGCTATCCGGGTGGGAGGGGCCAACACCCACATTCTCAGAGATACGTCCTCTACTACGAGATATTGACATTGCCTGCGAAACCAACCTCGAAAGCGCCTTTGCCATACTTGAGGAAAGAGGTATGTACAGAAGGGACCACATACTCTGACTCTGCTGACATGGACTAGCCAAACCCTTTCCCTTCCTCCGACTTCCCGCTGAGCTCCGCCTCCACACATACTCGTTCCTTCTTCCCCCCGGGCCTCGCATCCTCCTTGACCCTTCACGTCAACACGTCACGCGTCCACGCCTCAACATCATGCGAACCAACAGGCAGTTACACAATGAAGTGAGGAAGCTCTTCTACGGGAGCCGAAGAATGTTCATTCAAGTGGAACCCGGCCTTATGGACAAAGAAAGCGCAATAAAATATGGCCACGGCCTCAAGTGTTTACACATGTCAACTACAATAAACCCGACTATCCTGCAGCTTCTGAAAGAGCTGGAATTTCAGTTCCGTAAAGATCCATCCGGCGGGTGTTACCCCTCAGAATCATGGATGAACCCCATGGGCCGCATATACTACATGCTCAAGCTTGAGCGTATCAGTATCACCTTCACGGAGAGTGAATTCTACCGCTTAACTGCAGCGGGGTCTACGGATCCTAAAGCTTTGGAAGTACAGCGGATTCAATACGAGAAGTTGGAGCGCTTTGGCAGATGGTTTATAAACCAGATTCCGCTGTCTGTGAACGTATCGTGGTCACGCGAAGACGCGGCAATTTTCTTTAACAGCACTGCTGTGGAGCAGCGTTTGTATCAGGCCATACAAGAAAGGGCATTGCCTGAATAGGTCACACTGTCGCGGTACCGGGACGATTTCAATACGTTCCTGGATAGACGGCCTTCGATTCGCCAATGCACAAATGCTCAACTCTATATCATACAGCATGTTGAGCGGGATGAGTGTATTGTTGCCCATATCAAAGAGAATGAGGATTGCGATCTCTTCTATGTGATGAGGAGTACCTATGCGTATGTGGTTGATGTATTGCGAGAGTCATGAGTGGCTCGTCTCGCTCTGTGTTATCGCAGTACCACTGGGTGAAGTGGATGGCAACCGAAGTATTTGCCTACATCAAGTTGTGAAGGTGAAGCAGCCTTTTCTCTTACCTGCACCGCGCTTGGTCCAAAAAGGGATAGTATCGTTCTCACCTCACTTCCTACCTCTTATATGTATACGCCACTTTATCGAACACCCTACTACTGACACCACCCGACCAGGAAAGTGGATAGCTGCGCGGCTCATGGCAATGGAAACAACCTCACCACCAGGCCACGACGAGGCTATGGGCAGCGCTCTTCCATATGCTGATAGTCGTCTAGGAAGACTACCCACAGAGCTTCTTCAGTCCGTCATCGATCATTCCTCGCACTTCCGTCTTCCCAGCATCGCATGCATAAGCCCTGAGCTGCGCGCGCTCGTCGAACGACAGCTATATCGCGATGTGGTCCTAGGCTGGGGCTTCGCGGGAGATCTATGGCCATTCTACCGGACAATCCAGTCGCGGCCGGATCTGTCCAGGAAGACCGAATATCTCGTCATCAAAGTTGTTGATCGCATGATGAGTATCGAGGTTCCCACGCTTGGTGTTGTACCACAGGGCGCGATGTTCCCCTCTACCATCCGAGCAGAAATAGAAGAAACTCGCATCGCTTGCGCTCTTATCTTCTGGCAAATGACCGAGCTCGAATTCCTCAGCTTGTCGATTGTACATGCCGACGAGGACGACGATGGCAGGCCCAGGCTAGTTCCCAAGTGCTTGAGCAAACTCATCTCCCATTTCGATACTCGCACAGCACATCTCACGACATTCCCTGGACTACAAAAGCTACAAAGCCTCAAATTCGAAGGCACTGAGTTCCACTGGGTACTCGCCAAGTCCCCAAGTCTGGAGGAGATTGTTCTCACTCGTGCCAGCCACATCCTGGCCGACGGAGACTCGTCTGCGATCAATACTGCTGTCAAATCTCTCACATTCCCGGTACAGTCTGCCGTTCTCAATCCAGCTTGTAGCCACTACGACGCCTTGTCTCCCTTCCTCGCACACTTCCCTCGCTTGGAAACTCTGCGTATGCCTTTCAACGATGCCGACGAAGGAGTAACCGGACCACATTCAAAGTTCAATCTCGATCGCGACGATCAGGGTAGCTATACTGTCTTATTCCAGAAGCTCATGTCAGTGGCGCCTGTCTTAACAAGGCTGGAACTAGACGCATCTACTCACTGCAGTGAGGAGGACACCAGCTTTCTAGACCACGTATTACCCGGAGATGGCTTCCTTATTTTCAAGGCGCTCAGGCATCTTTTGGTACCTTATCAGTGCCTCTTCGGACGAGGCGAGCCGCAATGGGCACATATCCAGCAACCGGCAGATGAGATGCTGCCACCAACTCTTGAGACCTTGAAGGTCCATTTTCCAGAGCTTGCATTCCTTGACTGGCTTACCACCTTGTCTTACTATCGGAAACAGCTTCCTGTGCTGGAGCATGTTGGTATCGCGTGTTCAAGCTGGGTTGGAGGCTCATATGTTGACTTTGCGTTTACTTCGTATCCGCACCCCGCGCTGGGCGTGCTTTCCTCGATGGACATTGAGTGGGGTATCGATGTTCCACAGTGTTGCTGGAGGCAGGCATGGGACGACTATGATCTCCGGACTTGGGATGCAGTTGCGTGGATGGATAGGACTTTTGGTCCTTCGTATCGTGGTGAGCTTTGGATGCGACGATCATAGTATGGATCTGACTAATGATGTGTGTCTAGGTACGGTGTTCAACCCCACTCCTGGTGACGACTCAGAGCTAGACTCACCGCCAGTCGTTCTCAAAGAGCAAGCAGATAGTGGAAGTGCAGTTGAAGTCAATCCTGATGCTCAATACACCGCCGCCGAACTAGCTATCCTGTGGGAAGCAAGCACTACCGTGCTCTACGAATGATAGAGGCGTCGGCTCAACTCGATCGATCCTGGGGTTTCACTCAAGTAGCGTCAGCAGCGTTCATTGAAAGCGTGGCAAGGCTTGTTGCGGAGGCATTTGCACGTGGCTATAGGCCAACATGTCGAGGGGAGACACTGAGATATCTCAAAAGCATGAACATGGCATTTTACTATCCCAGCAGTGACAGTGTGAAGGAAACTGTGTTAAGTCTCGTGATATGTTCCCTCATAGCGTATTTTGCGGAGGTTCTCCTCTTAGGCATGTTGTGAGGCGAAGCCACTGTGAAGTCGCTGCATTCACACTACTCCGGTGGCGACGTTCCAGCTGTGTTCTCTCAATGCTCGTACCCTTTTTGAACCCTTCAAATTTCACCCTCCAAAGCTATTCAGACTTTTCCCTTCTCTCCACAGAAAGTGTTGATCAACCGGATCACCACAATCACGACATTGACTCAACCCATCCATACTCACCAACGTATTCCAGCATATCCACAGCTATGGCATCTCCACAGCAAGATCCAAAGGCTCTCTCCGAGGAGCTCAAGACCCTCGATATAGCCACAGCAGCTACGACGTCTTCAAACCCAGGCCTAGAAGCGCTACCCGTCGAGCTCATGACATTAGTAACGCAAAGCACAGACGCCAAAGGCAAGGCCATTCTTTCTGGCGACGACCTGTGCAATCTCCGCTCTACGAGCCGGCGCATAAAAGAAACGTCATATGACGGTTGGACAAAACGCTGTTTCTCTACGCGAAAACATATGCTGTCCCGCGCCAGTCTCCAATGCCTTCTGAGCATCTCCACCGATCCTGTTTTCAGAAATTACGTTGAGGAAGTGGCTATCGGACCTGAGCACGTGAACGGATACATGGCTTTTTGGAAGCTAAAGAATTGTAGATCTAGAGATCAGGAGGAAGACTGGCCCAGGACGTATGGGCCAAAGCACGAAAAGCTTGTTAAAGAGCAGGAATAGTTCGATGCCAGCGACGAAGCAGTGGAGATGTTGAAGTCGGCACTGCGAGGTTTCCCGAACTTGAAGCATGTACGCATTGACTCTTACCCGAAAGACTCTTACCCGAAGAAAGACGATGATGCTGCTGCCTGGACTGAGGCTTGGGGCTCGAAGCGCATCCTCCGCGAAATGGGCTGGGGAGCCTGCGGATATTGGGCTAGCCCTCAATGGGCACTTCGCAACGAAGGAGACTCCTGCCGCGGTAAACTACATGGCCACATCGCCAAAGTGCTCTCGGCGCTGCGAGGTATCGAAGATCGCAAAGACTGGACTCTGGAAGTCGCACTGAATACGATGGTATTGCGTTACGAGAAACAACCGTTCGATATCTCACCTGGCTCCGATTGGACACGTGTTCAGCACCGTGTTACACAATTGAAGTTCATCCGGACATTCGAAGTCTTTGAGAAGTGGTGGATCATGGGGTTGCTGCAGTCCGTCAGCGGTAATCTCAGGTCGCTTACGTTGTGTAGCGAGAATGTGCCCACCTTCCTTCGATGGACCCAGTTCCCTACTCTCACGCACCTCGACATCCGTAGTAGTCCGATAGCATCACCTCTTTTCAAGAGGGTTCTGTTCAAGCACCGAAAAACCCTGCAGAGCCTTCACCTTTGTGGCGCGAATCTGTATGGTTGGTTTGACGACGAAGATGCGTTTGAGCCCTCCGACTTTGCGGATGTCGAAGATTCTGATTCCGACGAGGATGGAGTGGTTCAAGTGGTCAATGGACGAAAGCTGAAACCGGGACTCGTCGAGCTAAAAGATGCAACTTGGTTTACAATCTTCAAGCAGTTGACGATGTCTCCTTGCCTGACAAGCGTTCGATTCGCCAGACTCTCTCAATACCACTCCCGTTTCAACAATATATACCAACCCGGCAGGTACACCACCGATAATGTAGCTGAGCATCTCACCGGCGGCTTCTCGCTTTCAGCTGAAGGAGATGAGGTAGTAAAGAGCCTCGATCGCGCTGTGAAAGAGCGCATCACCGTTGAAATGTCAGACAGACATACAAGCGACAAGGTTTGGTTCTCCGATGGGTGCTCGGAGGACTGGGATGCTTAGACTAGACCGCGGCAGGGAAATGGCGTGAGGCATGCCAAGGCGTGGGATATCCAAGAGACCCATCTCTTGCGTGCTTGTCTGAATCGTGGTAGAAGTGGGGTAAGCCCACTTTTATGCGCATGTAGTTGAGTTGAGGCCATTACGGCTGTCAAATGGATGCAAATTTTCCCTGGTACATGATATCTCCATGACGGCAATTGAAGTTATTGTGCTCACAGTGTACCGGATTCTGCCTTCGTGATACCATGGCAAAGCAACTGAGCACGTTATAAACGCAAGTATTACGACCGATCTAGCTTGCGACTAGAACCTTCCGTAATCAAGATGGAAGGTGTGGAGTAAGCGGACCTTGGTGCTTGTTGCAGGAATGATTGTTGAGTCTCGTGACCCGCGACGGAAAGCTCGGCGCTGCAGTCAAGCCACCGGTGACAGATAAGAGCGACAAGAGGCTGGCTTGGGCCCGTCTCAGTGGGGATATCCAGGCGAAATACGCCTTGTCATGTTGGTGTTAAGCTTCGCCGTTAGCATGCGGCGTGACGACCTCAGCAGGTTCCACGGAGGACGCTCGGAAAGGTGTTGGGCGCCTGGAGCGATACGAGAGAATCGAGGCTTGGCGCAAGGGTGTCCGTGAAGGTAAGTGGCTTGAGCATCTGTAGTCGATGGCAGCGTGCTTGGAATCTGGCGCAAAATGACGTTGGTGTTGTGGCTTCGGTACGGAAGTCGGCACAATTACGCCTGCGCCGAGAAATTAGCACGGCTAGGCGGATCGTAGGCGAGCGGGATGCTTGGCTGGGACCGAACAGCTCGCCACCTCTTTTCACTCATCCCCGCTCGCAGTGCTGGTGAACGGGTGTTACCAACCCCGCTGTCGTCATGCCCGGCACTACTCACAGCACTTTGGGATGGCATCTGCCGCTCAATCGTCTCAACGTTACTCGATGATGCTGTTGTGCAGTGTGGTAAAAGGCAGATAGGGTCAGATGTGCCATCCAGTATATCCAGAGGCCTGACAACCAAACGTTTGCGGACATGCATGCATCTCTTTGTTGACGAGTGCCGACCGTTACCGACGATGACGTTCCCTGCACCGGTCCCAAGATAGTCACCATCACGCCAAGCTCTCGATATCGCACGGTTCTTGGCTGCTCTCATGGTGTGTGCACCCGCGTGCCAACTTGCTTGTTTAAAGTCTGCCATGTCCCCGGATCTAGATCTTTTGTCTGCATCCCATTCACTTCTTAGCACCAGAAATCACTCACTATGGGCAAGAAGGCACCGTCTCTCGAGGGCCACAAGTCCGGCCAGGCTAACGAGCCTCTCTCCAAACCCGCACATGCCCTCCCATGGAAGGACGTCGTCGCCGAGATCAAGTGTAACGACGAAGACGGTCTGACTACTGCGGAAGCAAAGTCGAGACATGAGAAGTACGGCAACAACGATCTGGGCGACGATGGAGGTGTATCACCAGGCAAGATTCTGCTAAGGCAGGTCGCCAACGCAATGACATTGGTATGTTACCTCAATGAGCACACAATGTAACAATCCTAACAAATTCCAGATCTTGATCGCTGCAATGGCTGTGTCCTTCGCTATTCAATCGTGGATTGAGGGTGGTGTAGTAACCGCCATCATTCTGCTCAACGTTATCATCGGTTTCGTCCAAGAGTTCAATGCTGAAAAGACAATGGACTCGCTTCGATCACTCTCTTCGCCAACAGCCACCGCTGCGCGAGACGGAAAGACTGTTACTGTGCCAACCATTGAGGTTGTTCCCGGTGATTTGATTGAGCTAAAGACAGGTGACACTGTCCCTGCTGACATCCGGTACGTTGAATTGCGCTAAACTAGTTTGTTCGTCACTGACTCGCATCCAGTATCATCGAAGCCCTAAACTTTGAAACCGACGAGGCTCTACTTACTGGCGAATCCCTCCCAGTCAACAAAGATGGCGATGCCGTTTTCGACGAGGACACCGGCCCTGGTGACCGCCTCAATGTCGCCTACAGCTCCTCGACCGTTACCAAGGGACGCGCCCGTGGTGTCGTCTTTGCTACTGGAATGTACACTGAGATCGGTTCCATCGCCATGTCTCTTCGACAGAAGGGTTCCCGCGTCCGCGAAGTCAAGCGCAAGCCTGATGGCAAAGCCAAACCTCATCGCTACGCCCAGGCATGGTCTTTGACTGCTGCCGATGCCGTCGGCCACTTCCTTGGTGTCAACGTCGGTACTCCCCTGCAGAAGAAGCTCGCTCGTCTCGCCATCCTCCTTTTCGGTGTCGCCGTCGTCTGCGCAATCATCGTTTTGGCCGCCAACAGCTTCTCCAACAACAGCGAGGTCATCATCTACGCCGTAGCCACTGGTCTCAGTATGATTCCCGCCTCCCTTACCGTCGTCTTGACCATCACAATGGCCGCCGGCACAAAGCGCATGGTGCAGCGTCACGTCATTGTTCGCAACCTGAAGTCGCTCGAGGCTCTTGGTGGTGTCACTGATATTTGCTCCGACAAGACTGGTACTCTCACACAAGGAAAGATGGTTGCAAAGAAGGCATGGATCCCTGCTAAGGGCACATACTCCGTTGGCCAGTCCGACGAGCCACACAACCCCACCGTTGGCGCCCTGATGTTCAACCCCAAACAGCCACGCCATATCGACCCTGATGTTGACGAGAAGACAGAGACATGGGAGGAGCTTCTACAGGACAACGAGCACCTGGTCGACTACCTCAAGGTTGCTTCGCTCGCCAACCTGGCCCATGTTCATCAGACTGACGAAGGTCAATGGAACGCACGAGGTGACCCAACGGAGATCGCTATCCAAGTCTTTGCCTCTCGCTTCAAGTGGAACCGTCTCGAACACACCGGTGGTGACACACCTGCCTGGAAGCAGCTTGCCGAGTTCCCCTTCGACTCCGATGTCAAGAAGATGTCCGTTATCTTTGAGGAAACCGCTAGCTCTAAGAAATACGTATTCACCAAGGGTGCTGTTGAGCGTGTCATTTACTCCTGCACTCGCGTATTCAACGATGAGAGCGAATCTGGTGTTGACCTTGACGACGACTACCGCGAAGAGATCTTGGCTAACATGGAATCCTTGGCTTCCATGGGTCTGCGTGTTTTGGCGCTCGCAAGCAAGGAGTACGATGGCCCATCACCTGAGAAGGGTCAGGACCTTGACCGCGAGAGTATCGAGAATGGCTTGATCTTCCGCGGTCTTGTTGGACTGTACGACCCACCCCGCCCCGAGACTGCCGGCTCCGTTCGCCAATGCCAGAAGGCTGGTATCGAAGTCCACATGCTCACTGGTGATCACCCTGGTACCGCTCGCGCAATCGCCATTGAAGTCGGTATTGTGCCATCGAACATGAACACTCTTCCCAAGGAAACCGCAGATGCCATGGTCATGACTGCATCGCAGTTCGACAAGCTCTCCGACGACGAAATCGACGCTCTTCCCCTACTTCCTCTGGTCATTGCCCGCTGCGCCCCGAACACCAAGGTCCGCATGATCGACGCCCTTCACCGACGCAAGGCCTTCACTGGTATGACTGGTGACGGTGTGAACGACTCCCCGTCCCTTAAGCGCTCAGATGTTGGTATCGGTATGGGAACTGGATCCGATGTTGCCAAAGACGCTTCCGACATTGTTTTGACCGATGACAACTTCGCCTCTATCCTGAACGCTATCGAGGAGGGTCGCCGCATGTTTGACAATATCCAAAAGTTCATTCTCCATCTACTCGCTCAGAACATTGCGCAAGCCTGCGTTCTGCTCATTGGTCTCGCATTCAAGGATGAGAGCGGACTCTCAGTCTTCCCAGTGTCTCCCGTCGAAGTCATGTGGATCATCATGATTACCTCCTCTCTTCCCGACATGGGTCTCGGTTTCGAGGTCGCTGCACCAGACATTCTCACTCGCCCACCTCAAAATGTAAGTTTCCCTTGCTGTGACTGACTCTTTGCATTTATGCTAACAAATCGCAGCTCAAGCGCGGTGTTTTCACCATCGAGGTCATCCTCGACATGTTCGTTTACGGTCTTTGGATTGCCGCTCTCTGTCTCGGCGCGTTCTCCCTGGTCATGTTTGGCTTCGGAGATGGCAACCTCGGAAACGGCTGCAACGAATCGTTCAACGACACTTGCGACACCGTCTTCCGCGCTCGTGCGACTACTTTCGCCTGCCTTACCTGGTTCTCCGTCTTCCTGGCATGGCAAATGTTGGACATGCGCCGCTCGTTCTTCATGATGCAGCCCAACTCCAAGAAGTACTTCACGCAATGGGCCATTGACGTCTGGCGCAACAAGTTCCTCTTCTTCTCCATCGTCTTCGCTTTCGTCACCATCTTCCCTGTCCTGTACATTCCCGTCATCAATGACACCGTCTTCAGGCACAAGGGTATCAGCTGGGAATGGGCGATCGTCTTCGTCGCTACATTCCTGTTCTTCCTCGGCATCGAGTCCTGGAAGTGGGGCAAGCGCGTGTACTTCAGGAAGCGCGATGCTAAGAATGGCGTTGCCAGGAGGGGCTCCGTCGACCTGGAGTCGCGCGTGTTTGAGCGATACCTCAGCACAGCTATCAGCACTGACGGCGAGGATGGCGAGAAGAAGTCGAGTGCATGAGCAAAGAAATGACACGAAGAAGTATGATATCTTTCGAGTAATCTCTTTGAGAGCTCTTAATGTTTAGGGCCAGGCTTGGTCCTGGATAAGGCGTTTGAAGTTGTTTGCATAGCACGCGATTGCGATACCTCTTGCCATCATGGCTGCGATGAAAAGGCAGTTATAGTCATACAGCATGTACATAGTAATCTAGATACCACAACGAACTGAACAACGAAGTTTTACCATCCACATCTACATTTTCACATTTGCCTGCATTTGATACTGACATCCAATTAGATCTTCAAGCGTATCGTCACTGCAGCAGCACCTAACATGCACCTCGACGCGAGTCCAGCCCATCCACACCACCACATACCCAACCACCCAAACTATAATCCAAAGGAATTGCAGTCAAACTATCACGAGACGAGCGCGACCACAAATCCGCCTCGGCACGAGTCACTTACAGTCCTCCAGGCGTCCTTCTCTCAAAGTCTGTTCGGAGGCTTGCGCAACACGCAGCCCGCCCGACCCACAATATCCCCACAGCCTGCCCACTCCGCCATGCCATGCCAAACCTTTCCGCTCCACTCACACCAAGACCGAGACAGTGCGTCCTGCCTCGGCGCCTAGACCGCACCAAGGATTTAGCGCGTTGGTGGAGTACGTCAGCCCAGGGATGCAGTCACTACAGTAGTCTTGGAAATGGCCTGAGCTGGACGAAAAAGGTCGTGCCGATGAGCGGCTGGAGGATCGTGAGGCGTGCGTATTGGGGAAACACAGGCTGGGACTCTGTTGGAGATTGAGATTGTAGCACTGTGCGAACGGCGATGTTGGGAACGATAGGCTTTATTGCTTGATCTTGCTTTTTCCTGTTTCCCGCTGTCCTCATGTCTGCGCTCTGCATCATCGTTCGCTACCAACCCCGGTACCGCTGACGCTGCAAACCAGCCGTGGAAGCGTTCAGCCCAACCAACCCGACCAGTTCACACACATGCAACATCCTACAAGTCTATCGGACCGTGATAAGGATGGATAAGCTGCAGCTCGGCGTTTTTCAGCCGTCGCCATCACGCATCTAGAACGCCGAGCCAAGCTTCCTTGAGCGTAATCAAGAAGTGGCGAAAAAAGACGTGGCTGTGGAGGCTGAGCGCGTGGGTGAAGGTGTCATAGGAACGCGCGACAGCGCTCGGGTAAGTGGGCCTCCGGGGTAAGATGGGGGTTGCTAACAAGTGTTAAGAAGTGAGCGCTACGCACATCCTGTTTGCGTGATCTTGAAACCTTGTGTACGGCCGCGGAAACACATCATTCCATCACATCGAAATCACGACACGGACGGACGCACACGATAGACGCAAGGACGTGCGATTTGTACGCGCAATCGTCCTCGCTGGTTTTGCCGGTATACCCGCGCTGTTCTTCCGTCGTTCCCCCGTCATCGCAGATCCCACCACGCCTACGTTTGGCCTTTCCCCGCACCAAAAGTGTCGAGGTCGAGACGCATCCCTTCCCCCCCAGCTACCAAGCTTGAGCGGCATTATCCCCCACACACGTCAGTCGAACCAAGCCAACGCTGCTGCACCCGCATTCACCAAAGTTTGGAAACAACAATGCCTGCGGTTTCGAGCCACGGTTTTGTTCGCAGTCTGGAAGCGCGCGAATGGCGCGATACCGTGGGGCAGTCTGGGATGACGCCTACCGCGTTTAGTTTTCTGATTCCCGTGTTTGTTGTTGCTATTGTGGCGCCTTTGTAAGTCTTATTCGGAATTCTACTTGGACTCTTGAAATGGATGGGGTCTATGAGACTGGGATGGCTGGCGAAAGGACTGGGCTAATTGTTATTGATATAGTCTGTGTATATTCTGCATTCGGAGAAAACGACAAGCTGTTCCTGTCCCAGTGCGCCGCCCGCTACCAAAAGCAAAGAAGCCTGCGCTTAGGCGTGCGGAAGCAAGGGAGAAGTTGAATGAAGTCACCGAGGTTGTCAGTCTTGCTGGATCCTCATCATCGCAACATCGTGATGGCGCGGACGACGACAATGAGGGAGCGCTCGGGGTAGTAGAGACACGCTCGGTGCTCGAAAGAGAATGGTAAGTTCAGAAGGACTACCATACCCATCCCGACTCTCAACTAACATCCTATCCAGCGCAATCTGTCTCTCAACCCTCCACGCCCCCGCCCCACCAGAACCCGCCAAACTCTCCCCAGAAACACCCATAACCGATGCCGCGGCCCTACCCGCCTCGCTCCCCCAATCCACAGACCCCTCAACCTCACCCTCATCCTCCGATGCCGCCGACCAAACACCCACCACCACCCCCGACTCCGAAACCATCCTCAAGCTCCTCGTCTGCAGCCACGAATTCCACGCCGACTGCCTTGTCTCTTGGTTCGTCCTCCGCAAGACCAGCTGTCCAATATGCCGCTCCATGTACATGAGCAAAGAAGCACTAGATCAGCACGACGAGGAAGAGAGGATCGCGTTGGGTGGCGACGTGTCGCCTGCGGCGTTGGAAGCGGGGACTGCGAATCAGACACCGGCGCCGCTGCCTATGAGTAATTGGCAATACTTCCTACATGGGAGTGGGATCAGGAGACAGCAGGCCGTTGAGGCGAGGACGAATGCTCAGGCTCAGGCGCAGGCTCAGCCGGCGGTGGAGTTGCAGGATCGTACGCCTCAGACGGGGGAGCAGAGTGCGGATGCGAATGATGCTGCGGCTGCGGCTGCGGGTCCGGCGGATACGGCCGTGCAGCAGCCAGATCAGCCGTCTAGGTCGAGGTGGCAGAGACTTTTGAGGCGGTAAGCAGTACCTGATACCAGATGGTTTGATTGGAGTGATTGTATTTTCTCTTGAAGTTTTGTTTTAAAAGCTTCAAGAAATAGTACAATCACTTCAATCGAACCATCTTGTATGACGACTCCGGCATTTTGAGATGGTTTCACGGTCATGGGTATGCATAGTAGAGCCTGTTTTCCTTTTCGAGATACCCACTGGACGCATCATGGCGTTTCTTACACGATTGAATGAAGACAATTATCATTATGCTTTTACTCCTTCTATGAGCGTCGTTCCAGGCTGAACACCTGGGCAGGTCTAGAGCCTACATCAACGCTAGGTCACATATCTTGTATTCTGCCATGTTGATGTAGGCTGTAGGCCTGTTCGGCTTTTTTCTTGTTGCCCGCTCAAGACCCAAACCAGAAGTCATTCTCGCTCTGCGTTACCGGATCGAAGGAGCCATTGCCGGCCGTCACAAGGCCCTCGAACTGTCCCCAGCTAGCGAAGTCGGACCAGTCGAGTAGATCGAACGAGAACGTAGGGTTAGTCGCGTTGTTATTAGTGTTGTTGAATACTGCTGCGCTATCGGAGATGTCGATGTTACTGTTGTTGCTGCTGTACATCAGGGGTGGCAGATTCGCCGCAGGCGCGACGGAATCGGGGTTTGGAGCCGACATTGGTAACGAGAGGAGCGATGTGTCCTGGAAGCTGGCATTGTCGGCTACTGGCGTCGATAATCTGCCTGACTGGCGTACTGCCTCAGTCCTAAGCTCTTCCAACACGACACAATAACGATGCGCAAGGCAGTCGGTATCACTAACTGTCTCCAGTTGCCTCTGACATTTGACACCAGCCTCGAAATATCCCTCGCATTCTACTTTGGTCTTCACACCCAAGCCCTGCTGAATGCGATGGATGTATAGCACTACCACCGCACAGAAGGCGTAGTACTGGGTGAACCAAAAAGAGCGGAAGAGGTTAGACGCCTTGAACACGTCATCTACCGAGCGTACAATAGACATGGCAGCTTCGAGGCAAGCGGTGATGTTTGCCGATGCGTCATACGTTGTGCTGAGTCCGGCGCTCCAGTTGGGATGGGTGCCCATATGGGTCAGACTCGCGAAGTCTCGCAGTAAGAAGGGTCGGTGGATGAGCAACAGCGCATGGTGGTACGCCAGATTGAGCACCGAACGCTGACGCTGGTAGACTGGTATGAGCAACTGGTTGTCGATACGGTCTATCGAGGTCGAACCGGAAAGAAATCCTGACAGGGAATTCTTCCACGCGTGCAGTTCTGATGTATATTTCGACGACAGCTCGATGCGCAAGGCCAGACTGGGCGGGCGAATTGAGTAAAGGTCTCGTAGCACGAGAGACACGATGCGTGTCAATTTAATGTGCTCAACAGGGGCTGTCATTAGGGAATAAGTAAGCCGCGAGGGTAGGTTGATGTAGTTCGGTTGGAGATCGTTGTCGTTGACGATGGTAGGCAGCTCCTGGACCCATTGTGTTAGTGATCCCCAACTTTGATGACGCCAGATACACTTACTTGATCGATATCCTCGTCCTTGAAAGTCCGTGGACGACCTAGAGCAGCGGCGAGGTACTTGTCTAGTGAGTATGCCACCCAAAATAGGCGTCTTCGGCTCTCGATCTCTACATAGTCCACCTTGGTCGAAGGATCGCATTTCCTTCCACGATTCAGGCCGATAGCGAAGGCGAGATGCGAGAGTTCGCCGAAGAGACTCCAGCAGTGGTTGATACGGGATTGTGTCAGGAGGTAGAAACATTGCAGCAGTCGTGCCTGAACGCTCGCTAGCCTTACGGCGCCGCGTTCTTGCAATAGTTGCGCTTCGGCTGCGCGGAAGTATCGAGCGCTATTCGACATTAGCAGAGCCTACAACAGCGGCAGCGTCGACAAACCTGCTAGTCTGCACCGTACTGCCGAGTGGCATATATGCTTGTGCTTGCGCAAAGACTACCATCAACAATGCAACTTTTGCTTTGCCATCTTCTTTACTTCTCATCTCGCCTTGGGTGTCATAGAACTCCTCGACAAGCTGTTCAATCGTTGGTCGATGAAGAAAGCGATGAGTCGGTGCTGCATAGTCGAAATATCGCTCCACAAGCCTCTGCGCATCAGGCTTTGGTGGTGGAACGAAGATGGAAAGATCAAACTCAGGGAGGGGAGCGTCGCCAAAGGTGAAGATGGTAGAGTCATGCGACAAGGAGGAATTCGTGTGCAGACGCTTCTGAATACGGATGAGAAACGATGCTGCGCTTGAAGAGCCAACATAGTGGCCTTCTTGATCTCGTTGGGCGCCCTGAGGTACCGGAGAATCTCGCGAGGAAGGGCGATTGATCTGGTCTGTAGCCATGCCTAGAGCGTTTGATTCGGAGTTTTCAGGATTCGAATAACTCTGCGGGTCGATAGGAGTCAGAGGACTAGGATAAATGCGTGGGAACTGTGTTGTCGATATCGCAGTCTCTTCTTTCGCAGACGTCCCAGAGGCTAAGCTCTCTTTCCGTCTTGAGGCTAGTGCATCTGAGGCTATCGCGGGATCGTCGACAATGACAGAAGGCAGTCTTCCTCGAGTATACGACGCAGTAAACTCGCACGGCAACCCAGATCGCAGACAGAGCGCACAAGGGCATCTTCCGGTACATCTAACCTTTTTCCTGCTCTGAGCGTTAGCGCATCCATAGAATCTATGCAGCACCGCATGTGCGCCCAAATTTCCACAAGCTCACTTCTTACATCGGTCGCAAGCTCTACTGACCCTACTCCTCTCACGCTCCTCTCTCCTTCTCTTTGCAGGTGGTGATCTCGGTTCATCCGAACTTGCGCTTGCCGGGGTCACAGTCGTGACTGCTTCGATGCCGTTGGCGGGTGTCCATCTAGCAGTCGATGCATGCTTCGGCTCCACGTCGGCAGAAGCCGTTCGAGGAGGATTGTTCTCGTTCATGGCTGAAGCTTCGCGGTTCGTCGTTCTTGGCTCCTTGCTCAGGTTCAGGAAGTGGAGTCAGAAGTTAAGAGCTCGGATAAGAACATGATGAAGAGCCGGAAAAGCCGCACGCTAAACCCAAAAAGAGGAATCGCGCACGAGGCCTCCCAATGCCCGCAGAAATGTGATGCAATGCGCAGAATAGAAATAGCGGATGCTGCTTGTCGTTTTTATTCCACTCGTTTTTGTGCTACCTTTCGTAGTTATCCCAGCCACACCCTCTCGTTGCATGAATTCTTCACACGCAATGCCTGAGTGGCATCGCACCAGTTTCACCACACTATGTATGCGCCATCCTCATTCCTACATCGATCGACATCGCGCTTTCCCATTCTATTCCCTTGCCAGATCCAACACCAGATTCGTACCTCTACATCTGTCTCATTTCCCAAGCCAACTTAAACACACCGTGGCTTCTCTTGCGCACTACTCACTCATAAGCCCTAGGCGCAAACTCGACATCCAACTCCCTAATCGTATCCCAACAATGCCCCAGCACAACCTTCGCATGCGTCCTCTTCTGCAACCCCTTAATCATCTGATGACTCCTGACCCACGCATCGTGATCTCTCGCCAACCACCCCTGCGGCACGCCATCCGCATAATTCTCCTTGACATGATACTGATCACTCGTAAAGATCCACGTCCCACTCTCTTTCAAATTCACCTGCATGATGGTCAGTCCGGGGGTGTGTCCAGGTGCATGATGTAGATTGATTCCAGGGGCGATCTCGTAGTACGACCCGTGGAAGGGGACCCAGTTTATGTCGAAGGTGAGGTAGTGGGGAAGGTAGACCCCTAGATCTGTCTTGGTGGCGACGCTGTAAAAGGCGTGTTTGATTTCGAGTTCGTGGACGTAGACGGGTACGTCTCTTCCTTGGAAATGTTCTAAGCCACCAGAGTGATCGAGATGAAGGTGGCCTATTATAACCATCTTCACATCATTGATGCTGTGGCCGGTCAAGGCAATTTGCGCGTCTAGATTCTTAGACGCGTCGTGATCGATTCGGGTGAAGATGTCTTGGATTGGTGGACCGACGTCTTCGGGGTAGTTTTCCCCCGCGCCGGTCTCGTAGAGGATGAGGCCCTCGGTTGGGTGCTGGATAAGGATGCCAAGCATGACCAGTTTACGGCGTTTGTTGGTCGGGTTTGGGTTTGACGATGAGGACGCGTTTGCTGCTCGGATAAACCACCCGTCGTCACATTCTAATGTGCCCAGGTTCAAGACCTGATGTGTGTAATGTTAGGATGGCGTAGTTGGAATGGGGCCTGTGGAGTGATGTACCCATAGCTTGGTTCCCTGGTTTTGACTGTCAGTCGCATGTTATTCTCAGTTATTCGTGATTACATACACTGGGAGCTTGGTTGATCAGATCCAGAGAAGATGCCATGACGGATGACCTACCTAGACACGTCTGACGGGAAAATTCGTCTTTATGAACCCTTAAGCCAGCACTCTCTGTATAGGTACATATTCTGTGCCAATTGCGTACTGGTTTTTGCAGGTTCCCCACAGGTCAACATAGAATCACCATGACTGATTCGTGACGGGTATGAAAGCGATGAGGGGTAGCTAGATGTATGCCCCGCGGTTCATAGGTAAAGTGGGGCTTCTTTACACAGCCGGTTGGTCGTTTAGCATATCTGGGCAAATTAACGGAGTTGGTTGGTTGGGGTTGAGCAAGGTGTGCTCGCACTGAGACCCCGTTGCTGCGGCCGACGCAGATCCGTCTATGAGGATTGCGATTACCCGGGATCACGTATTGTTTACATCATGAGAACGCAATGTCTTGTGTTTGAGTCAGCCTTCAATCCCGCGGGACGTACGCGCGACTACGCAGAGGCCGTCAGTGGTCCGACTGAGGGCATACAGACTGACCATGGCCCATTAAACCATGAAGTCAAGCTCGCAGCCACGAATGTATGCTGGACAGTGGCGAGTGAAATAAGAAGATAGGAGGGATCAAGGGAATTTTGTACGGGAGTCGAAAGAACGAGTTACTGTGTCTACGATTGTTG